CCATTTCCTGAAGTGATTGTTTGACCTTTACCAACAGAATAACAGCAGGAAATATAAAAACAAAACAGGGTTCAATGAGCAGATACTAAAATGCAACAAGGGCCCAGTTCACGTAAACAGAAAGTTGGATGCAACCCGTTGTACCATGGGAGAACCATCTCACAGAAGAATCTTAATTTTATGGGCTGTTTGCAGTCTTTATTGTTGCCATTTTTGCACCTCTGGAAACAAAATGCACCCTTCATGAGTATGCATCCAAAACTTTATATAACCTGCTTTGTTCTTTTAAACAAGAACATCCTTAGAAGATGATGACCAGAAATCATATCCTATATATAATACTTAAATTAATCAACTTAACCTCAAGGATCTGGAGACATGTACATAATAAAGAGCTATAATTTCTAATCTTTTTACTGTACTCAAATAACGTACAGCTTGGACTACGAATTTGTTTTTCTGAGCAAGAAGCTGGCTTACAGGAGACACAATATTAACAGATTAACAGATAATCAGAGTTGGAAGGGGCCTTATAGGTCATCTAGTCCAACCCCCTGCCCAAGCGGGATACCCAACACCATTTCTGACAAATGGCAGTCCAATCTTTTCTTGAAAGTCTCACAACTCTCACTTCCACAACTTCTGAGGGCAAGGTGTTCCAATGGTTGATCGTTCTCAATCAACCAATGTCAAAGCTGCTAAAATGCGTTCTTTATTGTGCAAGTAAAAGAAGGAGCAGCACACGCATTAAAAAAGTAGCACTTTTCTGTTTTTATTTGCATAGTATTTGAAGTGGATTTGCCCTTTTTTCTTTGTCTGCGTAGCACAAAAACTTACAGTTTCGGAAATGGTTGATTCCTATATCTTTTCCTGCATTGTATATTGGGGTGGGGGAGGGGAGTATCATGTTTAGCAGAATCTTTCTACTATAATAGATGAAGCACTCCTAAAATATTCTGAATATAAACATTACAAAGTCAAGGTTCGGAGACTCCCAAAGATGCTGGTTATTTGACTTGCCTCTTATTTCCAATCCTTGCTAAGTGTAAGAAATAAATTCTCTGCAGCTTTTTATTGGAATAAGAATCATTTTTATGCTGTGCAGCTTATTTTAACCTCATTTATTTTATCTTGGGTCTTGATAAACATTAGAGAAGGGAATGTGTACTATAAATCATCATCTCAATTTTATGCTCCAGTAAATATAGATTAGCTGTTTTTTTCTCCTGTAGAAATAAAAATCATGATATATTACATAAAGTGAATATCTTGCTGACTAAACCAGCTTTGGTGAGGAACATATGGCTCCAGAGAAAATGCCATCTTACAATGTATTTTCCCAGTGTAACCATGGAATTATTTTCCAATAATCAAAATATTCAAAAGGGTGGTTTATAATGGTCTTACATTATAAGCATCAATATTCTTCCTGTCCTCCTGCTTCAACTTTTGCTTACATAGAATAAAAAAAACAATGCAGGTTATCGATGTTCCTTCCTCTGATTTTAAAACCACACTCATCTTTTTCCAATCCAGCTTCCATTAATGTATATTTGGTATAAAGGTTGAATAAATACAGGAAGAATAAACATCCTTCTCATTCCCCTTTGCCAACTTGAAATCAGTCTATTTTTCTCCCTGTCATAAACCAGGATTATAACTTTTAAATAAAATAAATAAAGTAACCTCCAGTCTTATCTGGAGTATTAATCAAGTTGTAACTCAATCACAATTTAATCTTGAAAAGCAGCATTTAGTCAAAGAAAAAGGTGTGAATATAATGTGAAATAAATAATTTATGAATAGTTGAAAAATAAGAAAATAATGGATATGAAAAATAATAATGATCTATAAATACTATACAGCTTGTCTTATAGTAAAATATAAGAGAATATATGCACAATTTTCACATGATTTTTTTTCAATGTTTATATTAACAATGTTTTTTTCCCAAAAAAAATAAAACAATAAATCATGAGGTACAGGAAATTTGATCATTATTCATTTACATTTTGGGTATCTAAGAAGTACATGATCTAATACATATAATCCCTGGATTATGAGCATTTCCTTAGTGAACGTTCAAAGTTACACAATAAGTGTCCCCTAGCATTTGCAAACAAGTCCCAAAACTACAAATCTTGCAACACCATGGCAGTTGTTCACCCTTATGAACAACCACGGGGTCTCTGCAACATTCATCCTGAATGTTGCCAGTCAAAATGGAGCTTCCAAGGGGCAGATCCACTCCTTCGACACTTCGTTTGGGTCTCCAGAGGCCTCACCTAGCATGTTGCAGGCCAAAATGGAGTTTCTAAGGAAGCTCCATTTCAACCTGCAACGGGCCAGGGGAGGCCCATGGAGGGCCAAATGGAACTGCAGGGGGTGCATGCGGCTTTGAGAGGCTGGAGAGGAGACTGCTTGCTAGATCTTTACAAAGTAAATGACCTGGCATGGCAGGTTGGGGTGTAAAGCAATTGTGGGAAGCATGAGGTATTTCAGTGAGTCAGGGAGGCCTTGGATGGTTTTAGGCAGGTGGCCTGTTCCATGGGCTTCCCTACCCTGAAATACCTCGTGCACTTAACAAGCCTTGCATTTGATTAGCAAATGTGTGAGCAAAAGGAGGGAGTGATTCCGTTCAAGGTACAAGATTCACTCCCACAAATCCTTGGGTTACGAATGGAATGGGCAGGCTCCATTACATTCGTAACTCAAGGACTACTTGTATGTATAGAAGACATTATATGCGGGAGTCTCTGTGGTTAAACTGGGAGAAGATTAAAAGACAATGTTAGTTGAAAATTCCAGTCTGGTTATTGACTATTGAAGCATTTTCTTATCCTATAATATACAAAAAGGAACAAAAAGTTAGATATGGTGAAATATTGAATGAAAAGGGTGAACTCAAATCTATACAAAAGCTAGAGGAACAAGGTATAAAGATGAATTGGTTTTCATGTGCGCAAATACATTCAAGGTATGATAAAGATTCTAAAATGGAAGGTTTCTATGATAAATTGACTGATTTAGATAAGATTTTGACAGGTATTGATGAAAAGGTGATTAAAAAACTATATGGATATTTATTAGAAATTAAATTAGAAGAAGAACAAGTTAAAGAAACTATGATTGCTTGTGGGAAGAATTTTGGATATCAGATTGATTTAGAGAAATAGCAAAAATTGTGCTCTCAAAATTATAAAATGACAATGTCAACAGCATATAAAGAAAATTTGTATAAGATGTTTTACAGGTGGCATTTTCCCCTGACAAGAATAGCAAGAATGTTCAAGGATAAATCCGAAAAATGTTGGAAATGTCATCAGACACCTGGCTCATATTACCATATGTGGTGGACTTGTGCGGATGCTAAAAAATACTGGACTAAAATCCACATGTGGTTGGGAAAAATGACAAAAAAACATAGAGACTTGAAATCAGAGATATTTTTATTGGGAATTTTACCTGAAATATATAGTAAAGACTTGAAATATCTGATTGTAAATGTATTAACAGCAGCTAGGATTGTATTTGCTAAAAACTGGAAAAATGAGAAAATATCATCACAGGAGGAAATCATTAAGAAAACATTGGAATGTGCTGAAATGAGTAGATTGACATTTGAAATTAGAGAACAAGAGGATAAACCATTTTTATAAAATTGGGGATCTTTTCTATCAATGGTTAGACAATAAAATACAGTAATGAAATATGTAGACTTTTAGAAAATAATAAATATATAAAGATGTACTTCTTTCTTATTATATCTACAAAATGATTTTAGGATAGATTTGGGGTGATAATATGAACTGTTATAAAATAAACTAAGTAAATTATGATTACCTTGTAAAACATGAATGAATAAAAGTATAGTCAAATGATTGATTAATAATTATACTAAGGTATTTAATTTTTGATTAAAAATATGAGATTATATGCAATGTAATTGTAATTGAAGACTACGAAATGGAAGCACAAAACAATTTGTAAACCAACCGCCATACTGTATGTACACATATGGAAGATAGCTTGATGTTTTTATGTTTTGTTTCTTTATGTTTGTTTTTAAAAACCAATAAAAAAATTTTTTTTAGAAAAGGACTACTTGTATGAATCAAGTCATTGTTTATGACTTAGTTTTATATATGAATCAGTTACTATGACTTTGTCAAGAACCAAATTTTGTTTAGCACTAAAGAGAAATCTAGAAACAGAATGAAATTTACAAGCATGAACTATCTAAGAAAGATCAGTCTGTTCCTTGAACAGGTCAACTTTCAACCATATCTCATTAGTATGGCTGTAATCCTTGGTGTTCTCAGACGTAGATTATTTTCTTGCAGACATTTCATTACCCAAATTAAGTAACATCATCAGTAATAGTAAGGAGTGAGGTTTGCTCTTATTTTATATTCTAGTCGTTTGTCTTCAACATAAGTGCCACATCTGGTGATTTCATGGATATAGCCACATACTGGAGATGCTTTTTCAGTTTTTCGAAATAGCCTACAATCCTGATGTTTCCTTGTAGACTTCCATCCAAGTCGGAAGCATTCTTGGAGCTCAGATAAGATTGTCAAGCACCAGAAACTAAAACTAGAGACAATGTGCTTAACACAATTTATAATCCCAGCTAATGTTTTTACATATATTCACTAAGATATCCACGACCCCAAGTGGTCTATCAGGATTCCCATTTTACAAATGAGGCTTAGGCCTAAGGAAAGTAATGTCATAATTTTACAGAAACTTGAATATAAACCAAAACTTTTCTCTAAATCGAAAGAACTATACATATCATTTCAGATTAAAATATTTCAAAATATTTTTAGTGAGGAAGAGAAAAGTCAAAGATCCCAAAAGAGAAGTTAGTGCTTCTGAATTGAAATAGACAGTTAGATTTTCTGGAAGCAGTAACATCTTCCTAAGAGGTCTGTAAGGAGCATGTATAAATAAGTGCACCATCGTACCTCCCGTCCCTGTCCTATTGTCCCCATTTATTCGTACCTATTTTCTGTATTCTTACTCATGTTTATACTTATACCTATTATCTTGCAAACGATTGACAAATCAAATAAATAAATAAAATCATGAGACAGAAAGTAAAATTTGCAAGTTTCATAATTATGTTCCATTTACCTGAAAATCAAATTACTTAATTAGATAGTATTGGACAGTTTCTTCATCAACAGTTTCTCCTATATACATTTTAAGCCCTGTACAAAGAAAAAAATAATCAACTGAGGAAAAGAACTTGTCAGTCAAGTGTTTCAACTTCATATTTTAGTTTGTGCTTTTAAAGAAAAGAATGCACCAAGAAATAGTGCTTTAATTTAAAATCCATATTGCATACTACAGAAGTACTGCAAAATCACCAGCAGTTATTCCTTACTTTTAAAAGTAATCTTTTACACAATCTTATCTTTGATTTTAACTTGACAAATAACTGTTTAGTTATTTTTGTATCTTAAATTGGATACTGAGAATATTTGTTCCCTTGCTTAGCATGTAGCTTGAACTCCATATAGATTTTTTTTTAATTCAAGAACAATGTGAATTGCTCTCTAAAGCATTACTGAATTATAACATGTTCATCATACCATGTGCCTTTTCAATGCTTATTTCTAATGTTGCATGGACAGCATATAGAATCCATATGAACTTTGTATGCCTGACTTGAGACATATATCCATTTCAAAAGATCTTTTTAAAATCTACCATTTGTTCACAGTTCATAACAGAAAACTGTATACTAATGTCCAACATATATATTTCATAACTTTATTGTGCATTTCTATTTTTCCTTCTTATAAAAGTGCTTTAAAAGGACATGTATTATTTTCTTCACATATGCACATACAATTCCATTTTATTCTTGCTGTAATCCAGTGAAGGTTGTTTATTTTGTTTATAAATCATACTTATATAGCCACCCACTTCACAGTCAAGTGACTTTTTAAGCCAAAAGCCATGGAGAGGTTAATCTGGTTTGCTGATGGGCTCAAGAAAGATTTATTTCAGACTTTCTTAAATTACTCCAAGAAATTCCCAGTTAAAAACTGTAGTAACAGCATAATAATTTCATTTTCTATCATCTCTTTAAGTGACATCTTTTACTCTTACATAATTTACCTTAGTTTTTATGCTTTTCATTTAAGAGGATGCAACAACACATTGGGTGAACTGAGTCAGCTTACATTCATCTCTAACTTGGAACTGAAAGGAGGTTAACATATTATAAGGAACCTTTTATTACTTCCATAACATAGGTAGAGTCAACCTTTGGTAAATACCAATTTGCTTGCATTTTGGTTTTTAAATGTAATTATATAAAACGCAAAAGTGTTGAACGCTCTGTTCCACGTCTTGATTACATATCTGTTCCATGTAATTTGCACAGTAGCATTTGTAGAAACTGTTTCTTTTAAGATCTTGAAACTAAAAAAACATATGCTATGTAGAGTATTACGTAATTTAGGTCCTTGTCATATGCTATAGTCCAGAAATTTCTTCAGAGTTGTAGTGCAGACAGCAAAGCTGGGAATGAATTCTGAGATATAATTTATCAATTCTGATTTATCATTTTGTCTACTTTGGTCTGGTTTAATGCCATCTTTCATAAATAATTCTCCCATATACGAGACTGATCTGAAAATTAATTTAAAAACGACAGACTAAAGGAATGATATGGAAAAAAGATGCTATACTCAGGGGTGGGATTCTACCAGCTTGCACCTATTCGCTAGAACCGGGTTGTTAACATTCTAAGCAATTTGGAGAAACCGTTGTTAGAAGAAATTACTGACCTAATCCTGTAAGGAAGGCAGGAAGGAAACATTCTGGTGTTGCTTACAGAAACTGCCTCTCCATTAACCCTTATTACATTCTTAGACTTCCTGTCTCTACAACTTCTCTGGAGATTTTTTCCCTTCTTTGCTGGTACTTTGCTTGTGTGGAGTGACCATTCAAAGTTACAATGGCACTGAAAAAAGTGACTTATGACCGTTTTTCACACTTACGACTGTTGCAGCATCCCCACAGTCATGAGAGGCCAGGCAAGGAGATGTGTGCCGCGATATGAGTGATACTGAGTTGGCCACGCCCAGCCAATAGCATGACCACAAAACCACATCCACCCAGTCACATGACCACCAAGCTATTCCCACCAACTAAGCCACGCCCACAGAACCGGTTGTTTAAAAAATTGAATCCCACCCCTGGCTATACTGGTTGGACAAATGAAACTGGCTGATGTCTTAATAATTTAAAAGGGATGGTATACCAATAATAAAACAAACAAGTGATATGGATAACTATATTGGATTTACAAAAGAGACATGTTAAAGTTTTGCAGAATTTTGTGAGACTGAACCAACAAGCAATGAAATCTAAATCCTTATTTGAAGGAATTAAAGATCAAGATAGTTAAAAGTAAAAGGAAGGAACAAAAGTGGGTTTATTTGATTCAAATAGATATTCTGTTATCTCTGGCAACCCTTAATGGACTTTTGCTGATCAAGACTAAACAATGAGGAGTTAAGAATCTTTGTAAACATAAGAAATGGGACATAGAAAGAACAGAACATTTGTCATATTTTAAAAGATGATTGGTTACTAGAATTGTTTATCCTTGGTGATGAAGGTGTAGGTCATTACTTTATATACTGTATTTCTTTTCTTTTTGTCTATTTTTCTTTTTTCTTCACTTACAATTTTTCCTTTTAATTTTCTTAGTTTGTATTAGTTTTTCTTTTTAATTGCAATGTTTAATAAAATTACACAGTCCTGTAGCTTCTTGTTGCTTGCTTATAAATACACCCTCTTTTCTTGTATTACTGTCTTGCCTGTGGAATATTGCTGAACATGTTCATGCAGGCTTCACCTGGTTTTGCAAACCCATAATAAAATATTTGGAGACTAAAAAATGGAGCAGCAAGGTTACTGGCATGGCAATTGCACCAGTCTAGAATAACACCTTTTTAAAATTGGTTACCGGGAAGCTTTCAGAGCCAATCCAAATTATGTTAATTATGTTTGGAGCTCATACACTGTAATAATGGATTACATCAAGCAATGTCCTGCCAGACTAGACTCTGTTCTTCCAATAATCTAGTCATCTACAGAGAGTTTTCTGAGTAATCCTTCTTCCAAGATCCAGGCCCACAATTATATTCTCTTTCCCCAGGGCTATATGCAGCCCCTATCTTCCTTGCATTTTCAAGACAACAAGCCTTTACTCAGGACTGAAAATACCAGTTTTTATAATTTTATGTTTTAGTGCTACATTATATTTATTGCTTTTCAAGATTTTGATGTTTTGACACAACATTATTCTTACACATTTGCTGATTTTGCTGCTTTCAAATGGCTCTTAGCCTAGAATTCTGATGAAGATTGGCCCAACATTCTCCTTCCCAACTGAGTCTGAAAAAAATCTCTAATGAACAGGGCAGTTGAATTCTGTAATAAGCCAATTATCTTCAGTGACTGAATCTCTTTTCATCTTGTGAAATAATCACATAATTTGTTTTAGGAGATAGGTCACACAACCTTTAAAATATGCATCATCTCAGTCCTCACTACAAGCATATATAGATCCTCACTTAGGACTAGTCAGTTAGTGACTATTTGACGTTATAATTGACCTTCAAATGCTACTTACCTGGTTCTACAGTTCCAATGACTACATAGCCCTCCAGTCAACATGACTGCATTTTTGGCACTGCATAACTGGCTCACCTTTATAGCCAGTTATAATGTACTGCAGCCACGTGACCACAATCTACTATGTATTTTGCTTGTTTCTGGTATTTTTGGACCTGTTTACAGCAAAAAAATCCATTCATAGAAATATTTGGATTAATTTAACAACTGCTGCAAAAAAGTTATACAATCTGATCCACTCACACAGATGCATCAACTTATGGCCATCATCACTTACAATTGCTCCACTGCCATTGTACTGAGAGGCCAAACATGGCCACCTGCACTGAGATGCCAAACATGGATTCCATTTTCTCCCACTGTTGCAGAGATAGGACACAGACATAAGACAACTTATCTTTCTGTGTCATTGCATACTTACTCCTGTGAACTTGCCTGAGGAACAGGGAACTTGCAAACTTGAATTGGAGAAAGAAAGCCTGGGCAGCCTGTTTTTGGAGAGATAAGACTGGTTATCTTGCTAGAGACATTTACATTCAACATTATCCAACTCTTAAGGCAGCTTGGTCTAGTATTTAAGGCACCAGCAGGACACTGTGAGTTCAAGTCCCGCCTGAGCCACAAAAGCCAGTTGGATGACTTTGAACAGTCACTTTCTCTCACCTCAACTCACCTCACAGGGTTGTTGTTATGGAGAAAATAGGAGGAGGGCAGTATGTTACATACGTTTGCTGCCTTGAGTTATTTGTAAAACTAATAAAGGGAAACAAATAAACAAACACTAAGGCTTTTTTTTAAAAAAAAACTTAGGAACTATGGGAACAAAACCCTTTTTTACTTTTCCACTGTTTAAAATTTTGTATATAAATTAGGGGTTTTTTTTAGCTAGCTTGCATTTTTTAAAACCACTTTTGTCAGTTTCATCAGAAAGAATGGTATAAAGCAAAACAGATCTAGCTACAGTGTGAGTAAATGATGGCAGAAATGAGATGCACAAACATTTCAGTCTAAATATGTGATGTGGGGGGACAGAAATATTTCTACAAAGTCTTCAGTAAAATGATTTATTTCCATATCTTTATCCTAGTACATTCATACAGTAATAAATTCCTGGAAGTTCATTTCAAGCAATAGGAATAAATTAAAATGACTACAAATGCAAATTTCCTGGAATGGCAATGATCCTTTGGATTCCATCTGAACAAGCTTTATACTTTGACTTCATAATGGACCATAGTTTTGATCTCTTTGATTTACCCAGTGCAAAATTGAAAACATGTGCATCATTATCCATTCACAATTTTGCTTTCAATTTTACTCTGCTTTTCTTTCATTTCCCCAAATCAGATGATCTAATTCTAAAGATAGGACTGCCTTTCTTTTTAAAGTAATATAGCCACACTTTGTTACCAAATGCTAACAGTTCTTTAATAGTTTACACAACAGAAAAAGGGATGATATCCCAAAATCTCGCTACAGCCAGCTGTACAGGGAGAGATAAAACTGACTACACAAAAGCAAAAGGAAACAATGGTGGAGACTGAAATGAAAAAGATATACTGGGAATGGATAATACACAAAAAAATGAAGACTGGGAGATTCACAACAGTTTTTTTCCAGAATATGCAATGAAAAAAAAAAAAGGGAAATCATACCTTCATTATTTCAGTTTCATATTATGTTAATGGATTTTAGCCAGCTGCCAAAAAATAGCACTATTTTTCAAAAAGAGCTACAGCAATCAATAAGTACCGTAATTAAGACTATTCAAGTGAACAATACCTAAAACTAAATCTTCCTCCAAAAGAGACCTTTAATAAGAATAAACTCAGCAACTAAATAAAAACTACCACAGGCACAAAATTATCTCCATTTTAGAAAAATTATTGCTGTCAAAGAGAGTAATTAGAACACACAAATTAAACTTTAGCGAATTAAAACTATTCGTGCCAGTTTTATAGTCTTCCATTTTTAATATCAGGTTTTGTTTAAAAAAAATATTGCATAGAGTTTGCCTGCTTGAAAATGCATATATATTTCTCTGGTGAGGAAGATGATATTACTGATACAGTAATATATATGTGTGTAATCATTTCTCCCCACTGGCCATGCTAACTGCAAAGTAGAAATCTCCTTGGGTGATTTAGGCTCTATAATGATATGTGAGGAAAATCAAAGAAATTATCTTAGGGAACTGTCAGATAGGAGACAGATGGATACTGCAGATGGATAGCGGACAGAGCAAAAGTTCTGAAGGATCTCTTCCTGGTTAGGCTATAAAGGGAATGGGGAGTAGGAGGGAAGAGTACTTTCAGACTTGCAAGTTTCTATTAATGTAGCTTTGCAATAAAGTAGAATTAGTTTATCTGTTTATATTTTCTACCAGGTAAGCTGATAGGCTCTTTTTTTAACTATCCTTTCAACAGGAAAATAGGCTTTTCTGCTACAGAATTTACAAAATAGAGTTAACATTTCCAAACCAAGCTTGTTTGATATATTCTTTCTTTTCATGCCACAAGATGTCAGTAGAGTACATTTTCTTCAGAATGAAATTGAACTCCTGAGGGATGTATTAAACCCATATAGGAAAAGAACTTATATACATTCAGTGGTTTAAAGGTAGAATGCACAGCTTTCAAGCAACGCAAATTGGTCCTCATATTGGGAGTTCAAGACAACCAGTGGGAAACGCAATATTCTTGTACAACTGGCTTTAAGCCTAGCTAATGCTGTTCCTTTTCCAGATGATGAGAAGTTGATTGTATACAGATACAGTTTTTTTAAAAAAAAAGATTTAGTATCATATGATCGTCTTCAGGTTATTTCTCCTTCTATTTGGTGGGTTTTTTCCTTATATAGGTTTTCCATGATCCCAATAAGCATCTTGGGACTTGTATTGCTGTATTTGGAAGCTGGGTATTTGCCATACCTTAAAGGGGTGACAAACTGGTGGCCTGCGGGCCAGATGCGTTATGCGCAGGCCACACCCACCCCAGCTCCATGAAAGGGAAAAACATCACGAAATGTCACATCATGGTAATGTGACGCTGCGAGTTTGACAACCCTGCCTTAAGAGAAAGATAAACAATGTTTGTCAGTTGCACCAGACTCCCACGATGTGTTAAGGATCAAACTAAAAGAGGAAGAACAGGGTGCATTGGGAAGGCAGTTTCTGGAGTTTTAACGATCGAAATTGATTCTTTGTTCATATTTTTCTTTCTGCCGATTTCCTGAAATGGAAGAAAGAGGGAGGACACAAGTTTCACTCCACCCACTTTCCATTAAAATAATGGAACCCAGGAACTTCAGTGATATACAAGTGTTCATTGCTCACCAATGATAATTACGATCAGGAACTCCATCGCGAAGAAAAATGTCCATCAGTTATGACATCACGTGACCACACCAATTTACAACAGCAGTCCCAGTAGTCCCAGTTGCTGTCATTAAGCTAAACACACGCAGTTGCAACACCCACAATCACATGATCATCTTCTGAGAACTTCTGCTGGCTTCTTTGCTGTTTTTGCTTATCAGAAGCTGACAGTGTAGTTTGCAAATGGTGATCACATGACCACAGGAGGGCTGTGATATCTTAACTGCAGTTGCCAAGTGCCCAAAGCACAAGCATTTAACCACAGAGATGCTACAGTGGCTGCAACTATGAGGACCTGCCCTAAGTCCCCCTCGTTCAGCACTGTCATAACTTTGAGTCGTTTCTAAAGTGTGTGCACTAAACAAGGACTACCTATACACTATGAATTTACTTAAGAGGTACAGAAACTGGTTTAACATGAATCTTTTACATCAAAGTTTACATTCATTTTTCAAGAGAGGCTACATAAGTCTTTTAAAATCTATAAATAAATCTGCCTGAATATATCAATATTTACCTGGACTATAATCACTATCCTTACCTGCTATAATATATATTGCCTTTGGAATACCAGATTGGATTGGATAAGAGACAACAGTATTTCAACAGAAGTGTTTAACCCTCTTTTGACCTTGGCCAGCTTAGTCTCCTCTGTCTCTCAGTCAGAGCTGCCAAGAGGATTATTAAGTCCTGGAACAAGACTAATATGGGCTCCCACACCTACACTTTAAGTTAACATCTCCCCATCCCCTCCCCACCACCCTGTGGATTTCACCTCACTCTGTGCACCGATATAACTCCTAACCAACCGAGAGACTTGTTTACAAGGGGCGGGCTGCCAGAGCAGCAAAGCAGATGAGGACGTGTGTGTGTGGGGGGGGAGGTTGAGGATGAAGTACAGAGAAGCGGTGTTGGAGTCTGTGGAGCCCACAAGTAGATGCCAGTTACCCTTTGGCATAGCTCTCTTCATATTCTACATAAATGACCTCTGTGATCATATCAAGAGCAACTGCGTTCTTTTCGCTGATGATGTAAAGCTGTTCAACACCACAGACAATACTGCTACCCTTAAAAAAGATCTTGACTATGTATCAGAATGGTCAAACAAATGGCAACTTCAAATCTCAACAAATAAATGCTCTGTCTTACGTATTGGCAGAAAAAATCAGAAAATAAAATACAAGCTGAATAGTCAAGATCTTGTTGATGATCCAAGCTCTGTAAAGGACCTTGGAATACTCATCTCTAATGTTCTAAGCGTTAGAGCCCACTGTAACTACATAGCCAAAAAGGCATTAAGAGTTGTTAACCTAATCCTATGTAGCTTTTTCTCTGGTAATATCACACTACTAACTAGAGCATGCAAAACATTTGCTAGACCAATACTCGAATACAGATCATCAGTCTGGAACCCACATTACGTATCTGATATTAGCAAAGTTGAGAAAGTCCAGAAATATTTCACAAGAAGAGTTCTCCACTCCTCTACTCGTTGTAGAATACCTTATGCCACCAGACTTGAAATTCTAGACCTAGAAAACCTTGAATTACGCCACCTTCAGTCTGATCTAAGTATAGCATATAAAATCATATATTGCAATTTCCTACCTGTCAATGAATACTTCAGCTTCAATCATAACAACACAAGAGCAAACAATAGGTACAAACTCAAGGTTATCCGCACCAAACTTGATTGCAGGAAATACGACTTCAGCAACAGAGTGGTCAATGTCTGGTATACTCTACCTGACTCTGTGGTTTCTTCCCCAAACCCCAAAAACTTTAACCTTAGATTGTCTACTGTTGACCACACCCCTTTCCTAAGAGGTCTGTAGGGGCGTGCATAAGCGCACCAACATGCCTACCGTCCCTGTCCTATTGTTTCTGTTATTTTTCTTATATGTACCCATTTCATGTATTCGTAACTATGTATATACCTATACCTATTATCTTGTAAGTGATTGACAAATCAAAATAAATAAAAATAAAATAAATTAAAATAAATAAATGGCTGGCGCGCACAGATCCTCCAACAAAGCTAACAGTGGCACCTCCTTCCTTTTGGCATGAAGGATTTCAACAGGGTGAGAAGTGGGTGGGGCGATCATTGCTGCCACTGCTGCGTGGGAAGGACACGCCTTCCTTCCTTGCCATTTGTCCTCCAATGAGTTGATTTGATTCAGCTTTGGAGTGTTTTGCTGCAAGGCCACCTCCCACCTTAACCCACCCCCGCCCGGGCACATCCAGGTTGACACACTGTCCTACTGTTTTTAAAATTTTGATTTCGTAATTTTTTTAAAAAAATATTCCCTTCATGAGCCCCCTTTGAGGTCCAGGGGCCCCAGAACAATGTACCGGCTGAACCCATCTCTTCTCAGGCCTGCTCTCAGTTCCTTCACCTCCACGGAAGGCACACTCAACAGTAGTGCAGTGTTTTGAACCTTGACAACTTAGCAAGCTGGCTAGGGAACTTCTAGGAATTGAAGTCCACATATCTTGCCAAGGTTCAGAAACACTCATGTTGTGTTACCACTGGATAATGTGTGAAGCATGTTCACCTAATGCCACATGAATTAAGCCAGTTTTCTGTTAAGCAATTCCTGTCTTAGATGTAATTGAACTTTCCTGAATGAACTGCTATCATATCTTCATTTCTCTGCATCACAATTTCAGCAGTCACTGACCTGGACAAAAAGATCTTACAACATAACTCATAAGGTCACATCCACTGGGGAAGATATTTTCAGCTACATTTCTATGGCGATGGAAACATGTGCTCTGCTCTAATCTTTCGTTGGCAAAGTACAGAAAGTATGTTTAAGTAGTGAATTTATTAAAGATTAACTTCTGCATGTCTTATAATCAAACCAAAGTGTTTTTCAGTATAGCTTGCCTGTCTGAAAGGATCTATAAAAGCTTTATATATTACATGTTAATGTATACCTGTAGCATATTTTACTTTGGTAAAACAAAAGTTCAGGGCTGATCTGAACTCCTGTGTAAATATGAGCATGCTGTTCTGTATAAGCTAAGTAAGCTACTTCACTGATTTTATTGAACTGCCTTTATACATTTCCTTAAGGATTTGCATATGCAAAAATGATAATTAAGAAAATTGTTAACTACTCTGCTAGCCTACAACAGTGTACTTAAGTAGATGTCTCTAAGTCAGTGTCTCTCAATCTAGACAACCTTTAAGAGTGGAGAATTTCAATTCCCAGAATTCCTCAGCCAGCCAGACCAGATGTGAGAATTTCTGAAATATGCATGTAATGCATTTAAATAGTCTAAGACAGGGGTGTCAAACTCACGGCCTGTGGGCTTGATGCATCACATACTGGCCATGCCCGCAAATGGGGAAAGTCGCGATACGTCATGTGACAACAGTGTGATGCCTCGAGTTTGACACTCCTGGTCTAAGATATTACAAAAAGATACAGGGGTTGCCACAAAGAAGAGGGAATCAAGCCATTCTCCAAAGCACCTGAGGGAAGGACACGAACCAGCGGGTGGAAACTAATCAAGGAGAGAAGCAACCTAGAACTAAGGAGAAATTTCCTAACAGAACAATTAATCAGTGGAACAACTTGCCTCCAGAAGTTGTAAATGCTCAAACACTGGAAGTTTTTAAGAAGAGATTGGATAACCATGTGTCTGAAATGGTATAGTGTTTCCTGCCTAAGCAGGGGGTTGGACTAGAAGACCTCCAAGGTCCCTTCCAACTCTTCTCTTCTCTTCTCTTCTAATTATTTTACAGGTTTGTGCAAAGCATTCCAGATGGAAAGCTGGCGAGCATAAGCAAAGCTTCTGTATTCCAAGGGTTAAAAGAGCCTGATTCTCTAGAATGCTTTCTCAGCTGCTTCACAGCTGTCTGTGCATACATAAGCATGCACAAACAACTCTTCTGCCAGGATCATCAATGAAATGAAAGGACTGTATCACTCTTTAGAAGGCACACATACAGAAGACAGCTGAGGGCAGCCTTCTAAAGAGGGATAGGAGTCTTACAAATATACAATACAGTTCTTTAAACTGGAAGATGGGATGCTAGCATGATTTACAAAGCCTGTCTTTCTAAAGGTCCTGTACAGACCATTTACATTTTATGTCACTTAGCCTGTACCTGGTATCGTCAGTCTTTTGCACAAATAATTACATTGTGTAATGTAAAGAAAGTAAAAGCAAATTAACACCTGGACATTATTTTCAGGATTTAGTGCCTCACTTCCCATTATAGGCACACTAGATATTTCTGCTGTGTCAACTGCTCTCCAGGGTTTCAGAAAAATGGGCTCAGTGATATCATTAGAGACATCATTTGCATTTTCAAACTAAAATAAAATATGTTGACAACTATGAAATTCAAAAGAAAAATCCTATGGGGCATACCCAATGCTAGTACATAGTAAAAACTAATTATTTGTATATTTTTATGAATGTTTAGGAGACTATTTCTTTTTCATTTCAGTTCTGTCCTATATTCAAAAAAACTTTTCCACTTCAACTGCAATCATTGGTGCGTGTTGAGCTTTGCACAAGGATGGTGTGTTGTATTCCCATTGATAGGGAGGAATAAATAAATTGTGATTTACTTATAAGGAATAGAATATTTATAAACATGTTACCAAAACCAAGTATTTTCATTGAAAATGCAGAAATTTTCAACTTACTTACTAGGAAGTATGCCTTGCAGAACACAGCATGAGTCTTGAATACAATATTCAAACAAAAAAATGTTGACATCAAAAATTTATGAATAGAATTAGAATAAGTAACATTTATTATTCCTTCAATAAATTAGTGCCATCTTAAAATCCCTTTCTCTAAAACAAGGTAGAAGTATTAGTTATTCTACATTAGAGAATGTTGTATATACAGAGCTGGATAACAGACATGGAATGGAGCCCAACTCAGCGGTCCTGTTATAAGGAATGAAGCTGACAAGGCAATTCTCTTCTGAGCTAGAGACAACTTTGTCTTATGTCAACAAAAACTTGGTTGGTGCTTTTCAAGATTCTCAAGAAAATGACAAGAATGTGTTGGTTCAGAAAAAAAGAGAAAAAAAAAAGCCTAGACTGTAAAATCTTGAGTATAAGTCTGTATATATGCTTTAATTTCTGCACCCTGCAGTAGGTAAATCTTTTGAGTGTATATGGCTTCATTCTTGTCTGCAACAAAGAAGTTAATCTTATCCTTATCCTGCCTGAGAACCTTGTCCCGAATAAGCCAATTTCTGAATAAAGTATTATGTTTGGAGAATTGAGATTAAGAGTTGAGCTTCCTGCAAAGCCTGATATATGCAGTACATCCAAATGTATACATTGTAAATTCAGGTAACTATCCCAAACATTTGTTATGGTTGTGGAGATTTCAAAAATGACTTAGAACTACTACATACTTCACATACACGCAGCAACTCTCAGCTATACATTAACCTAGCTTTTGTCAAACTTCTATAATTATCTGGGAGAATGGTACCAATCAGGGGTGGATTTCAAAATTTTTAGCAAAGGGCTCTTTGCCGGGTTGCTGGGTGGGCGTAGCCATAGTGGGCATGGCCTAGTCAGCCTCCTGCACCACGGGGGGGGGGGGGATTTTTGCCTTCCCAGGCTACGCAGGCCGATTGGCCTGAAGATTACTTTTTTGAATAGGAAATTGAGCAAGAAACCTACAAGGTGCTTCCAACCTTATGATTTTATTATTATTTTTAACTCTGCTCAATTTCATTATTCTTTACTTTTCCATTTTTCAGAGGCAATAGCAAGTTCAACTACACTAAGCAATAATTTTATTATGACCACTCAACAAATTTTTCTTTTTGAATTTACTATATTATGTAACACACCAGAAGCAATAAAAATCTTACATTATGTCTGAGGAGGAACAGCTTACAGTCAATACACAATTATAAAAGCTTCTGGATGACTTTTGGCCAGTCATTATCCCTAAGTCCAAACTAGCCGAAAAACAGAATTTGGGAGTAAGTTGCAGAGTTCTTTTTATTTTAATATTTTTTTCATCCTGTCTTTATTTTTATAAATAATTCAAGACAGCAAATGTAACTAATACTCCTTCTTCTTACCATTTTCCCTAAAACAATAAACCTATGAGATGGGTTGGGCTGAGAAAGAGTAGCCCAAAGTCACCCGGTCAGCTTTCATGACTAAGGTAGGACTAGAACTCCCAGTCTTCTGGTTTCTAGCCTGCTGCCTTAACTACAAGACCAAACTGGCTCTATTTACCTGGAACTTCTAGAAAAAAAGTAGTATAATTATGTACCTCTGTAACAACAACAGTAATATAACATGAATGATATCTACTGAAAATAAAAAAAAAACCCTCTGCAACAGCTACAGCTTCTATAATTAGCACTCAATTGTCAACATTTCCAAAGTTGTAGTGTATGGCAGGGTTTTTAAGTGATAAGCTCTGACAGAGCTAAAAATATGAAGCTGCTTGAGCTGATCAACTAGTAGGCAAGAGGAGAAACGGCTAGAAAGAAGGTATTATCTCAGGAGTCTGTTGTGTTCAAAGAGATTATCAGCACTATCTCATCAATGGAAAAAATTGTTCTATGCCATCGGGTGAAAACTCCAGTGCGGTATCAGGAGCATTTTCCTGATCAGGATTTGGAAGCCTACAAATTAAACCACTCCTTGTTTGCATTGCCAAGTCCAGCAGGGCCAGCACAGATAAGGAACATTCACGCATCCAAGAGTGCGGCTGAAACAGAGCAGAAAAGCATAGATGAAGCAACCCCCAAATTTCAAGTCTTACTAGATGTGGTGCAGTTTCGTCCTGAAGATGTCATAATACAAGTCTTCGAAGGGTGGCTCCTAATCAAAGCTCAGCATGGACCTAGGATGGATGAACAGGGCTTTATAGCAAGAAGTTTCACTAGGCAATATAAATTGCCAGATGGCATTGAAATGAAAGATCTGACTGCTCTCTTCTGTCACGACGGCATTTTGGTTATTGAAACTAAGACATTTGGCAGTAAATAAATTCTTGGCCGTTTTGTTACTGGTGAGACAATCTTATTCCTCCTTCTGATGTTCAGCATGCGTATTTGGAGTTAAAGCAAGCTTTCACATATTTTTATTCAGTTTGTTGAGAAAAAACAACGTTTTATGAACTTGTTAGCATGATGTAAGACAATATTTTTCTCCTTACAGCTGCATGTATACAGTCAGACATGCTTAACTAATTTGAAATAGCTTAAAAGGAAAAAAGGCAGATCTAAAACAACATATAGGTTCTACAAAAGAGAATGAAAATGGAAGGCTGCATTTCAGGTCTCAAAGCTTTATACCGAAGGAAAAAAGTTACAAAGGCTTTAATTAAATGATCTGCTGTATAGGTTTTGCTGCAAATCAGTTCATACTCCTGAAGAGACATGGCTGCCAATCTAAACAATGCTAAACAGTCTCAAATATAGGCAAATACTTATTATTTATTGCATGTAACAACAACTTCAAAGAATTATTGTTTCCTCCAAAGATTTTTTGTATGTTGTTTCTTTAAATACTTGAGTATTCTTCTTTTGGTAGATAACAGCTGTTTAAATCTGACTGCCTTTTTTCAAGCATAGTTATTATGATAAGTATGACTGCCATTCTAAGTATAGTCAAAGAATTCAGAAAAAGATCCAAATTAAATACAGGCTTTTATTAGAGGCATATTTGGAGACTCTGAAAGAAAGATAAATCAACAGCAACTTTGTTCTCTGTTTTAACGTATTTTTGAGAGATCAAGTCTTGATATAGAAATACTGATCAAAGAGTTCCACCAACACCGGCTATAGTTTCTATTAGATGATCTCTTGGAAGAGTGGAAAGGGGGAAAAAACTTTTAAGAGTCCTGAAATCCACAGTTCCTTCTCTTAGAGATAATCAGTATGGATACAGGGCTGACTGGATTTTTTTTTTTAATGGGCAATGCCCAATTCAATTCAAACCTTTATTTTCAGTGCACAACATGTGTACAATAAGATTGGCTGAGCCTCCCTTAGTGCATAGTGATTGTTCATTAAAAGCTTCCTGCCGTTTCCACTTTGTTCCATGGCTTATATTTCAATGGAATTATGAACAAATAGGTATACCTTTTACCATATGAGTATCATTGGCTGGGCTTGTGTCAAAAGAAAGTTGAATTTTGTTTTTAATGAAATGCTTAAATGCTTAAGAACCATTTTGTATACCTTCCCCACTTTACTTATACATTTACAAATGATATTCTACATGGGCACTTAAGATGAGAGCTGTATATTTAGATTGTAGGATACCACACAAGAAATCACACTGATATGTTGAACAAAAAGAAGCCCATATCAATATGGAAAATATATCATCATCATCTTTATATTAATATAATTTTTAAATGCCTTTTTTCTAAATCTTTTTAAAATAATATATGGCTACTTGGATACACTTAGACATATAATCTGCTAATAAATATGAATTATTATAACATATGTAATATTGTTGGAAAAATTATGCAGAATTTATGTTTAGAAATAAGGGTTGTATTTTTTTAATTTTTGCCAAGGGCAAAATTGCTACATAGTCAGAAATGCTATTGTAATTAAATGATGCATGTTTACCAAAAATGTCCAGCTTCTAAGACTCTGAATGATAGTAAGATAATTATTTGCAAAACAAGAAACAAGAAATATTGTATGATTTATAGTTAGTTTTTTCTTCTGATTTCATTATGTCCAATGTTTTGTTGATATTTTATTTCTGTATTCCAGTGGTGGGATTCAAATTGTTTTACTACCGGTTCTGTGTGGGTGGCTTGGTGGGTGTGGCAGGTGAAGGATACTGTAAAATCTCCAGTCAGAGGTGGTATTTGCCGGTTCTCCGAACTACTCAAAATTTCCACTATCGGTTCTCCAGAACTGGTCAGAACCTGCTGAATACCATCTCTGCTGTATTCTATTTACTATACATTGTGATTATTTCTATAATTTGTTACAATCTCATAATATTGGACTGATCTCAAAGTATTTTAAATATTTTAAAAGAACATTTGAAAGTATAACTATATGTGACAAGTTTGTAATCTGTTATGATACGGAGATAATGAGATTTGAAAAAAATCTACTAATACTGTTTATGAACAGAACTGAGATCATGTTATATTACCATGTCACTGCATGATATACAGTATATTTCTTTACCAAATTTATTAAGACCCCCTTCTCCATAATGACTCATGGTACTTCAGAAACCAGGTATCTCTCAGAGTGATAATCAGCACTCTGATTTGCATTCAGAAGCAACAGAACACAAATGCTATGATGGTTTGCCCATAACTGCCTGGGCTGTTCATTTCGAAATAGCTGCAGCTTCCATGTAGTTTTCAAGGACAGTCCCAAGTAGATTGCATTACAAAAGTCCATATAGAAGGTAACCAAAGCATGAATAACTGCCCTGAGGCCTTCTAGACCAGAAACATCACAGCTGCCACATCTGGCATAATGAGACACAGAAATATACTTTTGAAACTGCATGTTAAATTTCTTCAACTGCTTTGGGCATAAATAAAATCCACATTTCATTAAATAAATTAAAAGAAGATTTGTATAAGATAAAGAAATCACAAAAACCAATAGAAACCACAAAAACCAATCCATAAATACAAGATTATTTCTCAATCTGAAATTTTAATGTTCTCTTTTGGCACAGCTTATCTTGCATTTATTATTACTTTTGTTAAAAATACAAACTTTATGAACAGTGAAACAGCAGTTTATCACGAATAAGGAGATCAGCTCCAACCCTATTCAAATACAGGTGATTTTTTTTTTAATGTCATCACTTCAAAGAATTGCTTCTATATCAGCAGTCAGTTCAGTCCTATTCAATCCCTTATCTCAATTCAGAAAAGTAAATAGTCTCCAAATTGATTCAGAAGGTTAATTTGATTCAGAGACTTGGTCAAACTGACTTTGAATGTTCTCTCCAAAACAATGATATGTACTATTTTCATCCTTTTTACCTGTAAGGAATTTTGACAGCCAGATGGTGTAGTGGTTAAGGCATCAAACAAAAAACCAGGATACTGTGACTCCCTCCTCTCCTTAGGCACAAATCCATCTGGGTGACCTTAGGCCAGTCACTTTCTCTCAGCCTTAGGAAGAAGGCAAATATCAAAGCATTTCTTAAATCTTGCCAAGAAAACTGCATGGACTTGTACAGAGAATCTCCAAGATTCAAACACGGAACAGCAGATTTTCTAAAATTAAATCATCACTCATTGTTATATGGCAGCAATTTTGCAGAATTGTATTTAACTCTTGAGCAGATGTGCTGGGTCACAGAGTGCACCATTACTGCTTTTAACTTTTTTGTTGTTGTTGTTTTGAAGTCTTTGCAATTTTGGTGACCCCAACCTAGAGCCAGCCCTGTGGTGCAATAAGCTAAAGATTGCAAGTTGTATCACAAAAGTTTTTATTCTGCAGTATATTTATATACTGCATTCTAACCACTGTGCCTTGGTGACGCAGTGGTTAGAATGCAGTATTGCAGACTACTTTTGCTGACTGCTGGCTGCCAGCAATTTGGCAGTTCGAGTCTCACCAGTTTGGCTCAGCCTTCCATCCTCCTGAGGTCAGTAAAATAAAGACCCAAATTGCTGGGGGCAATAGGCTGACTCTGTAAAGAGCTTAGAGAGGGCTGTAAAGCACTGTAAAGTGGTTTGTAAATCTATGTGCTATTGCTATTCAATTTTGTTTGGTTATAAGGCATGCTCGGAGAAACTTTTGCATTTTTAATAACCCTGTGGACAAATCTGGAAATAGGTTGAGATTTGCCTCATACCCCAAACAAAAATTTGCATTCTTCTTTGCTTGTAATGCTGTGTCATGTTCAGAGGTGCAAAAAAAATTAAACAAGAGATTTGGAAAAGTATGTAAATATTTCTATCTTGAAGCATCTCATAGATTAGATCATTCCAGTGAATACAGTTTGATTGAAACAATTCCCTGAAAGCATTTTTCTATGACATCTGCTAAAGCTTCTTTATATTCCAAAAAAGGAAATTGGCATGGTGATTTCTCTTCTCCCACATACAGGACTTAGATTTTATTCAGAGCATCTTGGCAGGCGTCAACTTTTTCTATCTTGTTTAGTCTTGAGAAATTAACAAAAGCCTCTTCCTTTTGCTTGGGTGAAACTGGCAGGCCAAAGAACAGAGTAGTCATTGGACAGCATCACCCCACTAGCAAGAAAGTTGATAGTTTTTCCCCCCACCACCCCTGCCTCTTAGCCTGAGCCTAAATGAGGTTCAGGCCTGGTGATTTGCCATCTGCCTGCCCAGCCATTCTTGCTTTCAGGCTGTACAAAATCAAGCAGCAGGATGGATTTGGCCCATGGGCCAAGGTTCTCTTTGGCCCTGATCTATTTGATCAATATACTCTGAGAAGTGCTGACTTATTGCTTGTAACTGCACCACCATCTCAGAATTGGTTATATCTTGAACAAAAAAACGTTCGGTGGAGTTTAGGATATTTCTGTATATTCCATTGGAGTTTAAGCCAGAGTCAAAACTTGAGAAGAGAAAGGGGAGAATGTTTTCCCTTGAAACATTCTTCCAACTATGCCAAAAGAGGTATGGTAGCTCAGTGACTTAAAGACACTGGAGAAGGTCTGTACTCCAGCTATTCGAATCCTAGCACTGCGTGATGAGGTGAGCTCCCATCACATGCCTTGGCTTAAGCTAACCTAGCAGTTTGAAAGCTTGGTACATGCAAGTAGATGAATAGGTACCATGATGGGAAAAATAATGGCTCTTCATGCAGAAGTACGAACCTAGGTGATGTTAGACTCCTGAATGCAAAGCAACATTGGTGAGGAAAAAAGCCCCAGATGATGCTGCAGAATGCCATTATCCATTCTGAGTGTGGAGCTAGTTCGTTACCTGTGGTTTACTTCTGGATAGCACACAAGTGTGCTTTCAAAAGGATACCCGAAGAATATAATTTGCCAGGAATTCAGTTAAACAACAATTCAGTTTTATAGACAGTTGCAGAATGTTATTAAATATATATGGATAATTCTGCATACAACAAAAATTGAACACTGAATTGCAATTCCTTATTTTACAAATGCAATGGTCTAAAGAGTCAAAAAAAATGATAAATACAACTTATCACCTTAAAAGGAACTTAATTCATCAAAAATGTTCAGTTCTAAGGAATTCAAAGTTTGTTAAAACATTGTTGAACTGGTTTTTGAACAGTGTTAAAAAGGACTGGACAATATGATTTCTATAGTCAAGGTTTATTATATTATTCAAAAACTGTATTGTAGCAATGTTTATATAACCACCATACTACTATTGTTGTATCTGATTTCTTAAATTTCTGTTTGTTATTTGTTATCTTAATTAAACCATTCAATTAAGGATAATTAAAAATTAGATGATCATGTAATGTATACTCAGTGTTCTGATATGTTTTTATGGTTTATATTGCTTGGAATAGAGCTGCCATTAATCTCTTAAACAGGCAACATACAATGAAAATAAATAAAAGAGAAATTTTATACACTTTGTAAGAACATTTAACTTCATCCTATATAATCAAGTCTTCTATGTTTCCCCGACCCCAAGCCAATTTTTATTTAAAATCATAC